GAATGAAATTCCTCATGGAAGAATCTGAAGATATGAAAATTGGAATTGAGCAGTTAGAGGAAATGGCAGAAACTATCCAACAAAATGTCAAGTTGTTGGTGGAAATCTTTAATTCTCATTCCAAATATACCAAAGAATTGAATGACAGAATTGTTGATATTACTTCACAATTCGAGTCATTAGATACCAAACAGGAAATGCCAATTGATACAATCTCAAAAATACAAACAGGTACACAGTCAGGAAGCAGCAGTGGACCCATCAATATCAAACGAGATATAGCAAGTCCCCGGAAGGTGACTATAAAAAATGGTGATGAACATACAAGAGTTATAAGAATCAAAACTGATGAATATGATGATACCCCTTTATCATCAAAAGAAGAAGAATATAGATCATTTGCCAAGATTGTCTATGAATTGGAAGAAAATGAATCTTATTTTATTGTATCAGGAGATCATGTTTATCCTAGATTAATAATTACCCAAGATGCAGACCCTTTCATGGTCAAGATGGCAGCAGATTATGGATTTCTGGATTTGATCTATCCAGGAAAAGATTTAAAAGAAATTGAAAAATTTGATGATATATTCAGGGCAGAAGTTTCAAAATTTGCCCAAGGAAGATCGATTTATATCAAATTTTATTCAATAAGTCCCGAAATTGATGGAAGGATATACTATCCTGCTGAACATATTATTACAATTGGATATGTTGGCCGAGATTTCCAGATTGAAGTTGGCCAAAATAATAAACCATTACCTAAAATCAATAAATCATGGATTAAATCTCGGAGAGTTTTGGGGATGAAAGTTCTTTACAACATTGCAAAGAACTTATATGATAAAAAATTCAGATGCTTGTGCCAATATGAAGGATGGACACTCCTTACAAATAATGGAAAAGAAAAATCTACCATCTTGAAAGAATATATCCAGAAATTTGATACCCATCAAATTAGTGGAAGTCCAACAACAATCCAAGAATCATGCAGATTGAGGGAGTGCCCCACATGTAGACAAAATTGAAAGATTGATGGAGGAAAAAGGACCTACCACTACCAAAGCATCTAGCCAGCTGCATATGAAGCCAAAGATGGAAAAGCAATAATAGAAAAGCATCTAGCCAGCTGCATATGAAGCCAAAGACGGAAAAGCAATAATAGAAAAGCATCTAGCCAGCTGCATATGGAGCCAAAGATGAAAAGGCAAAGAATGCATGTGAAAATGTAGACCCCAGGAGGAAAAGAATAGAGAGGCATGTGAGCCTTTTTTCAAAATTCTGATGTATGCAATGATGTAATAGATCAATAATAGTAAGTTTGAGTCATGTATAAATAGAGGTCTTTGGGAAAGAATGGAACATCTCGAATTGAAAACCATTTTCTTTCCTTAAGCTTTCTTCAAAATCAGTTTTTCTGGAAACCCCTTGTATAGAATAGAAACCTTGTATAAATCATTATAGAAATAAAATTTCAATCTTTTGATATCAGAAAAATATGAGTTTCTAAACCTCCTATCCCATAGATTCTTGATAAATTGAAGAAGATAGTTTCTTTCTTACTTTAACAAAGAGAGAATTTTCTTTACTTAAGAATCTTTATTCTTAATTTTAAGAAAAGATACAGTGAGGGCAAGAAGCTGAAGTAGCAGAATTCCCATTAAGGCAAGAGGCCGTTTGAGGGAGCAGTTTGCAGATTCAGAGCCTGAAGGTCACTCGGTTCTAAGAATACAGATTTAAGATCAAAAGTAAGGTAAAATTATTGTCTTTGTTAAATTTAGAAAGAATTCTTCTAATATCTTGAAAGAATCGTAGGGATTATTACTTTTCATGTTTGCAAAAAACTTATCTAACATGTTATTATTATTCATAAAGTTTGCAAGGAATTATCTGAATGCCAGGTTATACAATTAAAGGATTAGATAATCTGTTAGAAAAACTATTAGAAAAAATAAGAAATATTTTTGCCCAATTAGAAACTATGGATGTTTCATCTAAGGAATATGATAATCTTAGTAAATTACATGACAATTATATTACAGATTATGCTAATTTATTAGATCAAAGGATGAAACTATATATTAAAATCCGAAATGAGAGAAATAGAAGAATTTTGGAACTATCCCAATAAATTAAGGATATCTTGTGCAAAATATGATAAGTCATTTCATTAAGGATATTATAGACATTTTACCAAAAATGAATAGTAGCAGGCCATTTATAAAAATCTCCCGACTTCCTCGAACTCCGACGATCAAAAAGTCTGTTATTTTTTTTTTAACTTAATCCATGTTTATATGGCTAAAATCTATTTTACATTTCTTAATTTATTCTGAATTTTCAGTTATTCTGACATAATTAGAATCGCTAATATGAAACAATTTCGTGATGCTCTCTGGAAAAAGCTTTAAAACGTGAATTTGCGGGCATTTTTTTATTTTTATTTTTTTGGTGAAAATCTGCAATATATATACATAATATTATTTCTTACGAGCTATGAAGCTCTGAACAATCCAAGTAACAATTTTTAGGTTCAAAGTTTAGTATTTGGTAAATCTAACAAAACCATAATCTTCTTCTTCTTCAAATATGACAATTTTTTCTTTTTCAGTTTTATGCATTTATTACATTACATCTGAAGCAGTGGATGTGGATGAGTTGCTAATGTTTCTGAGGGAAGACAAGAACAAGATTTTCTAGTATAATTTGACTCTTAATTATTCAGGTAATCTATTTAATAAGGATCGATAAACTGTTGGATTCGGATCCATCTTTAGTTAGTCCGTAGTTTATTATATTCTACGCCTTAGTATTCGAGAAATAATGCTCTTCTGTTTAATATTGGCGGGGGTTGGATTGTGAAAATGGATTTTGACATGTTTGTCTTTGTCTTGTTTCTGAATTTTGTACAAGTCATCTACGTTGCTCAACACACCTTTACGATTATTTTTCTGGGTTTCAGGTTTCGAGTTCTTGTAATTGGAGGAGGTTTTAAATTCTTTTTTCGAGAAAATCTAATCACAAAAAGAAGATTTTGATGGGTTCAATTGCAGAACCAGTCCAAGAAATAAAAATCAGCAAGCCCCCGAGCCATTGTCCTATTAGTAACTTTTTCTGCGTACACAGCTTACCACGCTACACGAAAAACTACTAGCATTGAGAAAAGTGCACTCGATCCCCAATCACCGGATGTGAACTTGAAATCGTCCTTCTCGTGGAGAAGGGCATATGCACACAAGCCATTGGAGATCACTAGAAATTCATGGATGCTTGGAGCGGGTTGGGAACCATTTAATGGTTCCGATGGTACATCATTGCTCGGTGAACTTGACGTGGGGTTCCTCTTTGTTTATGCTATCGGAATGTTCTTCTCTGGGCACGTGGGTGATCGAATGGATCTTAGACGATTTCTGACTATAGGAATGGTGGGAACTGGTGTATTCACTGCTCTATTTGGAGTTGGATATTGGGCGAACTTTCATATCTTTTATTACTACTTGATAGTCCAAATGCTTGCCGGATTGTTCCAATCGACTGGTTGGCCTTCTGTGGTTGCAGTCGTAGGTAATTGGTTCGGCAAGAAGAAGCGAGGACTTATAATGGGTATATGGAATGCTCACACCTCGATTGGGAACATTACAGGGTCTCTGGTTGCTTCTATTTTGTTGAAGTATGGATGGGGTTGGTCCATGGTTGTTCCCGGTCTAGGTACAACTTTTATCGGGCTAGCCGTATTTCTTTTGTTACCAGTAAGTCCTGAATCCGTTGGAGCTGATATAGACTACGATGATCTCCCCTCTCCCCAAAAAGTAGGAGAAGAAGTAGCAGAACCTCTGTTGAAGCCAGGGGTCGAAGATGAGTCAGCTGTCGGATTTTTAGAAGCATGGAGAATTCCCGGCGTTGCTCCTTTTGCTCTCTGCCTTTTCTTTGCTAAGTTGGTGGCTTACACGTTCCTCTACTGGCTTCCTTTCTACATTAGCCACACAGGTTCAAAAATTTACTCAATTCAACTCTCTTTTCATCAGAATAGGTTTCTTTTTATTCTCATTCAAAATTTATCGATTCATATGTGCTTTAAATTCACTCTCTTCTGTATTCACAATGCAGCTATTGAGGGAAGGTATGTGTCAAATGAAGAATCTGGGTCTTTATCTACAATGTTTGACGTTGGAGGTGTAGTTGGAGGGATCCTGGCCGGCCACATTTCTGATCGGTTAGGTGCACGGGCCATAACAGCCGCAAGTTTCATGTACTGTGCTATCCCGGCCCTCTTTTTCTACAGAAGCTATGGGCACGTTTCCATGACTGTCAATATCGTCCTCATGTTGATCACAGGCATGTTTGTGAATGGACCGTATGCGCTCATCACAACTGCAGTTTCAGCTGATCTGGGAACACAGCTCTTTAAGAGGGAATTCCAGGGCCCTAGCCACGGTCACGGCCATTATAGATGGGACGGGTTCCATTGGGGCCGCCATAGGTCCGCTGCTAACAGGATACATTTCAGCGAGCTGGACTGCAGTTTTCTCGATGCTGATGGTATCAGCTCTAATAGCTGGCTTGCTTATAACAAGACTCGTGGTGGCCGAGGTGACTGTAAAGTTTCAATCAGCACACGCATCCGATAGGTCAAGGTCATCTACACTTGAAGTATGATATCTCTAAAATGGCTTAAGATTCATTTTTCCGCGTGACAACCCGTCTCAAGTTAATATCCTGAGAGGTTATGGACGATAGGAAGGCGTCTTACTTTCTTCTTCGCAATTTGAAATTACAAAGAGAAGAACTGGCCGTTCTCTTAATTTTATACTTTGTATAAAAGCGCATCGTGTTTACATTCTTGTTCGCATAAGCGGTAAGCCACAAGAAATGCTTATCATTAGATCGTAACCTTCTCATTTGTTATATACAGTACAAGCTTATGGGACATTTTTAAGTAATACAGCTGCAGAAAGGTGTCTTCCAATTCTTGAAAACCCAGAACTGGATCTTTTGATGCCTTCAAGCCCGTGGACATCTTTTGCTTCCGCTTGGATCATATTTCTCAAAAAACTTTTCTAATCGAACAAAATACTTTCAGAATATTATTCAAATATATTCAAAAATAACCTTTTAATTTCAAAAGTAGAAAAATTCTGCTAAACTGGTTCTAAGGGTCATCAACTTGTACTCATTCAGATACTCACCATCAATAAATTTTATTTATTTAACATTATGCTTTACCCTCAAACTAGGTGATGGTTGAAAGCGGGGCCACTCCATTAATAATTTCAGAGTTTGTTAATCCACCCATTTTTAATAGATTCCAGCTAGCAAAACTAAAATACAGTATTTCCACACATTTTTTGTTACATTTCGAATTGACCTTCTTGTATTTATATATTAGGACATTGTTAAATGTACATCAAGCTTTACATAATAAATTAAATAATATCACATGTCACTATATCATCTGTCAGTTTAAAACATAATCAATTTTTCATTCAATATATTCCTTCACATCATTTTATATAATCCCTTATGTATCATTTTCATGTACAAGTAGCATAATTCTATATCTTAAGATGTGTATACCTTTGTAAATTAGTAGGCACGAGTTTTACCATTCCTAATGTAATCCACTCAATTGCTCAAAGACCATGTTCTCCCATTTTGTAACGTTTGGGCTTCTTTTTTCTTCTTACTAAAGAAAACAACAAAATTGAATGGCTAATTAATTATAACAGAAATTTAAACTCATCACCGAACTTTTACAATGATTTTACTGCATGTATATAATGAATTACATAATGTCACATGTTACTATATCATTTGTCAATTTAAAATTCAATAAACTTTTTCATCCAATTTTCTTCCCTCCACATCATTTTATGTAGTCTTTTATGTACAATTTTTATGTACAAGTAGCATAATCCTAATTACAATCTCATAGCCAAGGCAGGGCAACAGCAATACAGATTCGGTTTGTAGAAAATAGAATTCTGGAGAAAATACAGCTAAGGCTTTGAAAAAGTGAATTAGAAACATGCAATTCATTTTTCAATAACGCTACTTAGGCCAAACCCAATCTAGGTGACACTAAGTAGCTTTACTCTTTATTATCATCACAAGATTGAAATAACATCAATCATTTTCCAATTTTCTTATCTAATCCTAGACTTCTCGTTTGCACATATCAATCGTTTTTTAATTATCTTATCTAATCCTACACCTATGGTTTGTGTGTACAAAGTAAAACATGCAAGCAAATGTGAACACGTGTATGCATACTTGTGAAAGTGCACACTGCAGATCAGTCCTAAATTAGGTTGATTTACAAGCATTTCAACCTGAAACAATCTCTAAATGTTGACTTGAAAATGATATAAAGCAATTACATTCTTAGTAACTAAAAGTAGCAATATTAAGATTGATGCCTCTCTCTTCGAATTTATTTACCAAAATCCTACAACTCTTGTATAAGGGAGACTCTTTAGGTCGATGCAAAATCTCACCAATTTTGGGGTCCTAAAAGATGGAGCCTCTGGCCGCAAAATGTCCACAAGACCTGAAAGTTGTGTAAGAAATCATCAGTAATATTAGAGAGAAGGATGAACAATATACCTAATTAAGATTTAACAATGTAAGTATAAAATACGAATGTATTTCTGAATCCCGTATAATGATTAAATCACTTGTATCGACATGACGAAAAAAGCAGAACTAGAACAAAGATAAAGACAAGAATTACAAAGAATCTGCACAACAATTTCATCATAAACAAGACAGATTATCAACTAAGATGTAAATAAATTACAAATATAAAACGAAAAAGAATAAAACATTTTGATCAACCTAGGAAAATCTACAGAAGAGAAACCATGTAGAAGAAGATACTTGTAAAACAAAGACACACATCTAAGAATTTCCATAGTACCATACGTTTATTTGCAATATAATGCAATAGCTGGATGGAAGATATAGTTCTATAGAGGTGAAGGAATGCATTAAAATTAAAGTCGATCGCTGGTGTAATCTAATGGAATGATTCTATCCATTCACCGAATCATCTGTTATACTGGAAAGATGAATATTATATAGATTTCAAATATTTCAAGTTCCAAAAAGTTACTACTTTCTAGTTTCAATTACATTTGACCCTATTGAGCCAAGCTCATTTGCAGAAGCCACGTCACACTTAATTTTTTGTCCAGTTCTTGAAGATTCAGCCAGATCTAGTTTTCCATATAATGTCCAGATCCTGATATTTCTCTAACATGGAATTTTCTTGTTTGTTTTGATATCTTTCTCAGAATCTTAGATTTGAGAAGAACAAGCAAAAAAAAAATTCCAGAGCAAAAAGTTACCTCTCTCTTTGTTGATCTCATCTTTCGCGCTAAAAGGCATCTACCAAAAACAGAAGAATAGTTTTGATATGGAATAATCTGGCATTAAGGTCTCGTGTTAATGGATAAGCTTTGGGCATCTGAACCTCAACTGATTGTAGCTCACAGATGGCAGACTAGAATTAAGTCGTCATGAGTAAAGAATCAACACAGTAAATAAGTTAAATGAATTCGCTTACAATGAACAAAATTTTCCTACAGAAATAAGTTCTTAATTTTGTTGTGCAATAGGTAAAAGTACATGCAGGTGCAACGAACTGGAAATTTTCCCATCACTTCTCCGATAGGAAAAGAGTCAACCACCAAACTCCACTGATTGCAGTATATGTTAATAAATATAGACTAGTAACTTAGTTTGCATCTCATAAAGATCAACAATCAACTACTTGAGCACGAAACATGAAAAAAACATAAGCAGTATTTGAAACCACAAACTCCTAATCGATTTACCTACATTGAAAGGACTTAAAAAAAAAAAAAAAAAAGGTATAATAGACAACGGCTGATGCTTTATGGAAAAGTATTGAAGGCTTTGTTCTCAAGAACGAGAGTGAGCACATCACTGAAAGAGAAAAAGGTGATAAAGCCATGCAGCCATGCAAGTAGCAAATAATGTCAAGTCACGTGCCGGAGTCAAGTTTGTTTCTGAGTTTGTTATTCTGTTTCAGGTTGTTAGTGAATAAGTCCAAGTGGATAAGTCTTGCTGATTATTTTTCCTAAATCCGTAGCTTAATTTTTGCATTATTGTTATCATTTTGAAGGCTATAAATAGCCTCGACATGTTCAATAAAAAGGTGTGAAAAATCTATTCAAGCTTCCTTGATATTCTTCTTCTGCTTCCTGTTTAAATCCTTATCTTTTTCTGCTTCCTGTTTAAATCTTTATCAGTGGTATTAGAGCCGGTTCTGATTATGGACACTCGTGGCAAAACCAATGCGGAATTTCACAATGAGGTGAATGAATCCTTGGCTCGACATGAGTCCAATTTCGACCAAATCAATATGGCTCTACGAACTGTATTAACTGAGTTACAGGCTTTAAGGGTCTCTAACACAACACACACTAGTCCAGCTGATGTTAACCCATTTTACCCAGGTGAAACTTCACACTCTCCAAATGCTGTGCGGCCCAAAACCCGTAATGACAATTATCACCAGCATATCAAGCTGCTCTTTCCTAAGTTCAATGGCGAGGATCTAAGTGCCTGGGTTTACAAGGCGGAACAATACTTTAAGTTTCAAAACATTGCTTGCGACCAACAAGTGCAGTTGGCTTCTTTCCATCTAGAGGGCATTGCTTTACAGTGGCACCACGGACCACTCACTTGGGCGGAGTTTACCAAGGCAGTCCTTCTTCGTTTTGGCCCCACAGATTATGAGGATCCATCTGAGGCTTTAACTCGGCTTAGACAAACTACCAATGTGGCTGAATATCAAGAAGCTTTCGAAAAGCTTTCCCACCGAGTTGATGGCCTGCCTGAAACATTTCTTATTGGTTGTTTTATTGCGGGACTTCGAGACGATATTCGCATAGATGTAAAAATCAAACAACCTAGCACCTTGGCTGATGCAATAGGAGTTGCCCGATTAATTGAAGAACGAAATCAATTACAGAAGAAAACAAACCAACCAATTCGTTCCCAACCAGCCATAATGGCACCCAAGACGAGCCTCAACCGAACAGCCGGCATACTTGGCCCTCCACCTAGCCAGCGTGGGAACCCAAACTCAAATATGACTCCGACCACATTTCGACGTATCACCAATCAAGAGGCACGAGAGCGACGTGACAAAGGGTTATGTTACTACTGTGATGAGAAATTTGTTCCAGGCCATCGGTGTGAACGCTCGCAATTATTTATGATGGAAGATTTACCTCACCTAAGCTTTGATGGAGATGATCTTGCTGAACATGAACCTGAGGATCCAAAAGTTATGCCCGAAATCTCTTTCCATGCAATTTCTGGGACAAACCATCCTCAAAATTTACGTGTATTGGGCAAGCTGAAAAACAAGAATGTTACTGTACTCATAGACAGTGGTAGCACCCACAACTTCATCAATCAATCTATAGTCAACAAGTATGGGTTACCAGTAATCCACGATAAGAAATTCCAAGTCATGGTAGCCAATCGAGTGAATACAGATTGTGCTGGACAATGCCAAGCACTCACCATTACCATCCAAGGTAAACCCATCACTGCAGATTATTATGTTCTCCTTGTTGCCGCATGCAAATTGGTTTCAGGAGTACAATGGCTGGAGACTCTCGGTCCAATCGAGACAGACTATAGGCAGCTAACAATGACCTTCAAAGTTGGAGAAGTTTCCCACACATTCCAAGGACTAAAACAGGCTAGCATCGAAGTTTTAACGGAAAAAGAATTTGGTTGCCTACAAGGTAGTGGACTTCTCTTTCAAATCTTACTCTCAGTAGATAGCTCCCAGCTAAACTCCTACCCTCCTGACCTAACCCAGCTTTTAACCACTTTTCATAAAGTATTTGAATCATCGACTAACCTACCGCCAAAGCGATTACATGATCATCGCATTCCCCTACAGCCAAACACGGAGCCAGTAAGTGTTAGGCCATATCGATATCCTTATTACCAAGAAACTGAAATTGAAAAGATGGTGAGGGAGCTCCTGCAATCCGGATTGATAAGACCAAGTAATAGCCCATTCTCATCACCGGTTCTATTAGTGAAGAAGGCAGATGGTGATTGGCGATTTTGTGTAGACTATCGAGCATTGAACCATATAACAATCAAGGACAAATACCCTATTCCGGTTATTGATGAGCTCCATGGAGCCAAATTCTTCTCCAAGTTAGATTTAAAAGCTGGCTATCACCAAATTCGGGTACAAGAAGAAGACATTCAGAAAACAGCTTTTCGAACACACGAAGGGCACTACGAGTTCCTTGTAATGCCATTTGGCCTCACCAATGCACCTTCCACCTTCCAAAGCCTCATGAATGACCTCTTCCGCCCCTATCTTCGGAAGTTTATCTTGGTTTTTTTTGACGATATTCTAGTGTATTCACAAACATGGGAAGATCACCTCTCACATCTATATATAGTTCTCACCATTCTGGAAACTAACCATTTATTTGCTAAAAGGACAAAGTGCAAGTTTGGTGTTACCCAAGTTAACTATTTGGGTCACATTATTTCTGAGCATGGAGTGGCTATGGACCCAACAAAAATACAAGCTATCCTTGAATGGCCAACACCCACCACAACCAAGGGAGTACGTGGATTTCTCGGGTTGGCAGGATATTATCGAAAATTTATATGAGATTTTGGATGTATAGCTGCCCCATTAACTCAACTCTTATCCAAGGAAGGATTTAAATGGAATGAGGCAGCCGAGTTAGCCTTTAAAAGGTTGAAGAAAGCGTTGACATCGCCACCAGTTCTACGTATTCCCGATTTCTCCCAACGGTTTGTGATTGAATGTGATGCAAGTGGGATTGGAATTGGAGCAATCTTATCTCAACAAAATCGACCAGTAGCTTACTTCAGCGAGGCTTTGAAAGGATCAGCTTTGTTACTGTCTACCTATGAGAAAGAAATGTTAGCCATTGTCAAATCTATTAAAAAATGGCGCCCATATCTTCTTGGAAAACCGTTTACAGTTCGCACAGACTAAAAAAGTCTTAAATATTTACTTGAGCAGCGGATCACTACCCCAGCACAAACTCGATGGCTTCCAAAGATCCTTGGATATGATTATGAAATTGAGTATAAGCGGGGGCCCAAAAATCAAGCTGCTGATTCATTGTCCCGTGTGGTCGAATTTCAATTCCTATCCATTTCCATGCCACGTGCGGATTGGTGGTCAATATTACAAAGTGAGGTGTCACAGGATCCCTTCTATACAAAACTAAGCCAAACATAGTCAGTCCACCAATTGGTTTAACGAGATGGAGTGTGGTTTAAAAATGACAAGGTTTACTTGAGCCCAACTTCAAACTTGATTCAGAAAATAATTTTCGATTGCCACTCAACGCCTACGGGAGGACACTTTGGGTTCCATAAGACTCTCTCCCGTATTAAACTCAGCTTCTTGTGGCCTAATATGTGCAGGACAGTCAAGGAATTTCTACAGCAATGCACTATTTGTCAACAGTACAAAACAGATTGTATGAAGCCGGCTGGGCTATTACAACCCTTACCAATTCCGGCTCAAATATGGACTGATGTCTCAATGGATTTTATTGAAGGATTACCGCCATCAAATGGACATACTGTCATCATGGTAGTCGTTGATCGCTTAACAAAGTATGCCCACTTTGTAGCCTTGAAACATCCATTTACCGCAATCATTGTTGCCAAAGCATTTGTAGCCAATATAGTTCGTCTCCATGGCATTCCCACATCCATTGTCAGTGATCGAGATAAGGTGTTTATCAGCTCCTTTTGGCAAGCATTATTCCAATTACAAGGAACCAAGCTTTGCATGAGCTAAAGCTACCATCCTCAATCTGATGGCCAAACGGAGGTAGTAAACCGTACCTTGGAGCAATATTTATGATGTTTTGCAGGCGATCGACCACGGAAATGGCTAGAATGGATTCCTTGGGCTGAGTTTAGCTATAACACATCTATCCACTCCTCCACTAAAATGACGCCCTTCGAAGCTGTATACGGTATTCCACCCCCAAGTGTACTCACTTACATTCCTGGCACTTCCCACATCCAAGCAGTTGATGAATACCCACGTGATCGAGATGTCATTCTGCGTGAGTTGCGTCACAATCTTTCAGTAGCCCAACATCGAATGAAGTGTCAAGCCGATCGACATCGGCGAGAGGTCTCCTTTGAAGTAGGTGACTATGTGTATTTGAAGCTCTAGCCATATCGTCAAACGCCAGTGGCATTTCGAGCTTCAATGAAGCTTGCCCCACGTTTTTTTGGTCCTTATCAGATTATTGAGAAGGTGGGTACAGTGGCATATCGGTTAGCTCTCCCTTCTGGCTCCCAAACTCATGATGTGTTTCATGTTAGCATGTTACGGAAGCATTTGGGTCCGTTAATCACTCCAATTTCAAGACAACCTCCACCAGTAACAGATGATTCTATTATTCTTCCCGAACCTGAAGCTGTCCTGGATGGTCGACTCATTCATAAAGGAAATTATCGTCCAAAGTCTGAGGTTTTAATTAAATGGAAGGGGGCTCCAAGGGAAGATGCAACCTGGGAAAATGAAAGGCGCTTTACAAAGAGATATCCAAATTTTATCCTTGCGGACAAGGATCTTTAAGTGGGGGGGATTGATAAAGCCATGCAGCCATGCAAGTAGCAAATAATGTCAAGTCACGTGCTGGAGTCAAGTTTGTTTCTGAGTTTGTTATTTTGTTTCAGGTTGTTAGTGAATAAGTCCAAGTGGATAAGTCTTGCTGATTATTTTTCCTAAATCCGTAGCTTAATTTTTGCATTATTGTTATCATTTTGAAGGCTATAAATAGCCTCGACATGTTCAATAAAAAGGTGTGAAATATCTATTCAAGCTTCCTTAATATTCTTCTTCTGCTTCCTGTTTAAATCCTTATCTTCTTCTGCTTCCTGTTTAAATCTTTATCAAAAGGATAAAATAAAACGTGTTGGTCATACCTGTTGGGGATCATCACGTGTTAGATCCTGGTTCAATTTAGCTAAAGTTTTCTGCTAGCCAGTCTGGTGTTGATTTTCCTTTTCTATCTTTAGTGATAATTTGTTCTACTTACAGTCATTGACTAAGTAGATACTTGATTTTCATTGATACAGCAGTGATCCAAGAGATGTCATTGATGAATGTTGTGCAGCCTCTAGGTAGACAGAATTTCGTAGTCTTGGTATTGAGTAAAGTTGATTTACACTTGGACCATGATTTTCTACAAAAAATTCAAGCGTCATAATCATCAACATTCTTGCTTTAAATTTACTCTCAGCGTTTTCTTCACATTTGTTGAATATCGTGACAATTTAACTTCCATTCTTCAACCAATCATGGGAAAGGAACTCTCACTTAATTGTTACTTGCTTTCATGATGACAAAGGTTAGCTCGAAAAATATAAGTCAATAGATCTTAATACCTAATAAATTGAACCAATGGAACAATATTCGGCTCCACGAGAGGCCAAGTCATAGTAACATACACAAGGCAAACCATTTTGATCTTCAAAATCATTTGCCATTGAAATAAATTTCCTTCAAAGAGTATATTAAATTAGAAACAAAATAATCAAGATTCAATCAAAATACAGAAGTTCTAAGTCATTTCTTCAAGGAAAAATCTTAAAAAAGTGAACGAGGAATTGTGTGAGGGAACACCTGAAATCGTCGAGAGTAATAATCAAACGGCATCGTCTCCAGGCTTCTTCGGCTTGCGGTATTTTTCTTCCACTTTTTTTGCAGAGAAAAGGGCCTCATTTACAACCTTCTTGATGTTGGGAACATTATAATTCTGGGCAATGTAAATTCCAAATACTGTTCCAGAAATGAACGAGAAACTGCTCCTTATAATACCCATCACTATATATATATATTCTTGTGAAGAACAAAAATAATCAAAGGTTAGGGTTCTCTTTTATTTGGGAATTTATACGAGTTTGTTATTGTCAGAGGATAACAGAGCTTCCGGCGCCTTAGCTTCTGGAAGGAAATGACAGATTGCCCCCGTGCGCGGCGGCGGTCTTTCAGAACTGGAGTGCTCGATTGTGAAGAAAGGAAAATTACTTTTTGAGTTCACGACGCCACGTAAAGATTGTCGGCTTTGTCCGAATTAGCGTTTCAGTCTTTTAGATCGTTACGTATCTATCTAAAAATTTATATTTACAAATGATTTCTACTAAACATATAATGTTATTATTATAATTATTTTGAGGTCTGAGCATATTATTTTTATTTGTGACAATAAAATTACATTTTTGGACAAAACAAAATAACTTACTTATATTAATAGCAAAATATATTTCCTTCAAAAAATAAAATAAACTAAATATTTATTTTGAAATAAATAGTTTATTATTTCTAATTTTGACAAGAAAAAAAATTCTTTTAAAACTAACATATTTTCTTACAAATAAACTTTCAACATTTAAGCTTAGTCAACTATTGGAAGGTAAATTTAGAATTTATTAGGTTAACTTGATTAGTTGTTTACCATATGGATAAATTTTAGTATTATTTGTTGAATCTTGCTATTTGTACATCAAATTTTATTTATATAATGTCGCATGTCATTTTATAATTTACCGGATTAAAACACATAATCCTTATTTGTAGGAGGTGACTTTCATTAAAGATTTAGTTATTTTAA